TACTCCCCGCCCCGGCCCGCGTGCGGGACCCGGTCGTCCCCTCCTGCCGTCCCGGAGCCCGGACTGAGGCCTCGGGGGCGCGGCGGGGCTCCCGGTCCACGCCAGCCACGGCCCGTCCGCGCCTCGGCTCGGCCCTGCCCTCCGCAGCCGCCTTCGGGTGGCTCCGCCCGCGGCCCAATTTCCAGGCGACCGTTTCCCGGCGACGGCGGGCGGGGCCGTCTCTGCCGCCCCCCGCCGCGCGTTCCTCGGGCGCCCGCGACGCCCCGCCTCTGGCTTGGGTGCGGGAGCGGGGCCTGGCCGGGCTGCGACGCCGCCACAGCTCGGGGCCCGTCCGCCCAGTCACGGGGATGGCTCGGGCGGCCGCGGGGGTCGATGGCCCCCGCGGTGGGCGACGCGCCCTGTCCAGGCCTCACTCGCCGCGTGCGCAAAACGGGGAGGAGAACGCGGCCTAAAGCAGAGCCGAGCCGGGGTACCTCGCCGCCGCCGGGCTCTGGCGGCCTGACCAGACCTGGGGTGCGAGCGCGGGCCCACGGGGGTCGCCGCGATGGACTCGCTGGCAGCGCCCCAGGATCGCCTGGTGGAGCAGCTGCTGTCGCCGCGGACCCAGGCCCAGAGGCGGCTCAAGGTGCGTGTGCGGAGAGGGCGGAACGTGGGTCTGTGACCCCGCGGGCTCCGGGACGCGGCAGGGGCCACCAAGGGCTCCCCGTCCCCGCGCGCCACGGCCCGCCAGCGCCTCGGCTCAGCCCTGCCCTCCGCAGAGGCCTCAGGGGTCCACGGCCCCAGGGTGGGCGACGTGGTGGCCTGTCCAGGCCTCACTTTCTGGGTCCCTAAAACGGGGCGGAGAACGCGGCCGTGGGACCCCTTCAGGGGCCCCAAGGGTCTGCGGGGGCTGGGCGCGCGGGCAGGGAAGGCTCCGCTCCGCCGTCTATAAATAGGCTCTGCTCCGCGCCGCCGCTGCCGCCGCCCCCGCGGCTGGATCCGGGCCAGGCGGGGCCTCCCGCCCCTTGGCACTCTCCGGAGGGTGAGTGTCAAGGCCCTGAGCTTCTCCAGCTTGTGGAGGGCCTCGAGTGTGTCCCAGGGGTCCCAAGCCTGCTGCCCTCTGCGCAAGGAGGGAGGACACGGCCTGTGGCTGCGGCGGCCTGACATCTCCCCCAGGACAGACAGTCTCCGTCCCCGCAGAGCCCTCCTTGAGTTTGGGGCAGGGGTGTTTTCTCTTGCCACCCCCTCGCCTGTCTTCTCACCTCCAGGACTTTGCCCACGGGCCCTACCCTCATTTTTGCCAACAAAATGCCCCGCCCTGGTAACTGTACCTCTGCTGTCTCTTCATCCTGCATTTGGTAAGAGACGGCATTGGACTTCCTGGAGAAAACTGTGTGTCCCTAACCTGCCCCACCCTGCTGCCCCCAGGACATTGACAAGCAGTACGTGGGCTTCGCCACACTGCCCAACCAGGTGCACCGGAAGTCGGTGAAGAAGGGCTTCGACTTCACCCTCATGGTGGCTGGTGAGTGGGCCGCACTCCTCGGGGGAGTGGCTGGGGTCCCTAGCCAGCCACGCTCTAGTCACTGGAGCCCCAGACCTAACCCAACTCCTCTGTTCCTGTGCAGGTGAGTCGGGCCTGGGGAAGTCTACACTGGTCCACAGCCTCTTCCTGACCGACTTGTACAAAGACCGGAAGCTGCTCAGTGCGGAGGGTAAGTGGCCTCCGGGAGGTCCTGGCACTGATCCCCAGCTCCCTGCCGTGGAACCCCTCCAAGGGCTCCCCCTTCCAGGTCCAGCTCCCACTGTTCTGTTTCACAGTGTGGGTGCCCCGGGGGTAGGGCTGAGGCACCAAGATGGATCAGGAAAAGGGTCCTGGCTGCCGAAGGTGAAGGGCTGAGTGTTGGAAAGGCCCCTCCAGTGGCCCCTTCCCCATAGAGCGCATCAGCCAGACGGTGGAGATTCTAAAACACACAGTGGACATTGAAGAGAAAGGCGTCAAGCTGAAGCTCACCATCGTGGACACGCCGGGATTCGGGGATGCCGTCAACAATACCGAGTGGTGAGCGAGGCCTGCTGAGAAAGGCCCTGCCTAGGCAGCCACAGCACTCCAGGCCTGGCCTCACGCTCCTCCCTGCCCACAGCTGGAAGCCCATCACCGACTATGTGGACCAGCAGTTTGAGCAGTACTTCCGGGATGAGAGCGGCCTCAACCGAAAGAACATCCAGGACAACCGGGTGCACTGCTGCCTGTACTTCATCTCCCCCTTCGGACATGGGTGCGTGGCTGTCCTGGGGCCAGACGTGGGAGCGCACCACCCCCTGCGATATGTCCCCCTGGCTGTGCCCATGCCCACCCCTGGCTGGTCTCGGCAGGCTGCGGCCGGTGGACGTGGGTTTCATGAAGGCGTTGCATGAGAAGGTCAACATCGTCCCTCTCATCGCCAAAGCTGACTGTCTCGTCCCAAGTGAGATCCGGAAGCTGAAGGAGCGGGTAAGCCTGCTGCCACACAGGGGCCTGGCCAGGACCCTGGGGCTGAGAGTGCCAGGGGGACTTGGCCAGCCTCAAATCTGACAGCCCTTCCCCCACCACAGATCAGGGAGGAGATTGACAAGTTCGGGATCCATGTCTACCAGTTCCCTGAGTGTGACTCGGACGAGGATGAGGACTTCAAGCAGCAGGACCGGGAACTGAAGGTGAACATGCAGACTGGTGGGGGAAGAGGGACGGAGGTGGTGAGGGGCAGAACCAGAGGACCTGTCTCCTTCACACCCAGCCTACTGAAGGAGGGCCAGGTCAGCCTGGTTGGGGCAAGAGTCATTTGCTCTAAGAGTAGAGGGCCTGTACTTCATCCAGGGCTGCAGGGTAAAGGTCATGTCTTTGCCTGGCTGAGGTGGGTCATGTGGGCCCCGCATGATGCCTGGCAGGTATGGAGCACTTGCTCAAATCCAGAAGTGCAGCAGTGGGCCGGGACCCCAGCCCTGACCATCTTCCCATGGCTCACCACCCAAGGAAGGGCCTGGTCTAGTGGCACACCCTGGCTCCCAGATTTCTGCGCTCCAGAGTTGGTAGCTTTGAGTGCCCCAGCATCTAGAGTGGTGGTGATAATGGAGACCATGCCAGGGGCAGGTGGCCACCAGGGCAAGGGCATCAGCATGAGGAGACATAGGCTCAGCCCTGGAGAAGGAAGGGGCAGCTGGATCGAGTGATCTTGATGAGGGAGGGACGGAGCATGCATGGTTGGGCCATAGCCTGGTAAGGCCCTGGAATGTGAGCCACATGGGCTCTGGCTCCAGCCAGATCGGCCAGAAAGGGGCAATGCCAGGATCTCTTTGAAGAGAGGTCGTTGATGGTAATGCTGGAGGGGTGCCCCAGGAGCTGAGGGCCCATGCCCCTTTCCCATCACTAACCCCGCAATTACGCTGAACTGGTGTGAGCCCTTTCCCCTCCTCCCTCCAGGAGAGCGCTCCCTTCGCTGTTATAGGCAGCAACACGGTGGTGGAGGCCAAGGGGCAGCGGGTCCGGGGCCGACTGTACCCCTGGGGGATCGTGGAGGGTGAGTGGAGTCTTGGGGTACCAGGTCTGGGGTGGGAAGGCTGTCCCAGGCCGGCGCCCGCCCACTGCCCACTCCCACCCTGCAGTGGAGAACCAGGCGCACTGCGACTTCGTGAAGCTGCGCAACATGCTCATCCGCACGCATATGCACGACCTCAAGGACGTGACGTGCGACGTGCACTACGAGAACTACCGCGCGCACTGCATCCAGCAGATGACCAGGTGCGCGCCGCCGCCGCGAGCCAGGCCCCGCCCACGTCTCCGTAACTGAGGGCAGGTCCTGCCAACCCACCCAGACTTGAATCTCGCTCCATTCCCCAAATCGGTCCCCCAGAGCCTGGCCTCCCTAGAGCCAGTCAAGGGCTGTGAGGGCTCCGGAGGGCAGGGCCTCGGCAGTGGCGGGGATGGGCCGGGCATCGCCGGCCCACGCTGAGCCTCTCAGCAGCGTCGCCCCGCCCATCCCTCCCCTCCAGCAAACTGACCCAGGACAGCCGCATGGAGAGCCCCATCCCGATTCTGCCGCTGCCCACCCCGGATGCCGAGACTGAGAAGCTCATCAGGATGAAGGATGAGGAGGTGTGTGGGGCGGCAGGGGCGGGCGGCAGGGATGCACCTCGGCGGTGCTGCTCACCCGCCCCGTTGTCTCCGCCCACAGCTGAGGCGCATGCAGGAGATGCTGCAGAGAATGAAGCAGCAGATGCAGGACCAGTGACGCTCGCCGCGGACACACCGTCCGTCTCCGGGACGCCCTCCCACCCCTGGACCCTAGACCGGACTGTTCCCGACCCGGAGACGCGGGGCCACAGCCCCCAGCTGACCCTAATTTATTTTCAGCACCACCCCCTCCCAGGCCATTCGTATCTGCTTCCAAGGGGCCTGGCATGGCCCCCTCCCAGCTGGCCCTCTCTGGCCTTGGGGGATCTGGAGCGAAGTTGGGCAGGACTTCAGAGATCCGCCTCTCTTGCTCCTCCCTCGTCCCGGGAGGTCACAGCGCCCAAACTGCAGGCCCTGCTCTGGCAGGCAGGCAAACCAAGGCAGAAGAGGGAAACTGATTCCCAGGGTCCAGGGTCTGTTCTCTGCCCCAGAGCTGCAGAACGGACTTGGAAGCCCTCCTTTGCCTGCTCCCACGGGTCACCCAGCGAGTGCTGAGACCCCATTTTCCGTCGAGGCGGGCAGGGTCTTCCCTTAGCCTCGGAGGAGCCCAGCGGGCAGGATTGGGCTGAATCAAATGGGAGCCCTCCAGACATAAGGAGGTCAGAGGCTGTGAGGAGGGCGGGCGTGACCGCCTACACCCCTTCTCTACAGCCATGCCCGACCTGGGGGGCCCCAGGGGCACTGGGCGCGGAGCCACCTCCTGGCAACTCTCGGTGCCGTCCACTGCCCTCGCCCGAGGCCTCTCCTCCCAGCACCACAGTCGTGTGCCGGGATCCCGAGCCTCGGCCTCCCCATCTTCCCACCCGCATGATCCTTTCCCGCCACACGATTTTCCGTTTCGTTCCGTTGTGAATGCCGCAACCTGTCCTGGTGACAGGAGAACAATATTGGTGAACGTCGCAGTAGGTGTCCGAGTGCTCCGTGTGCCCCTGAAAGCGGGTGGGAGCGGAAACCCGGGCGGCCTCGGCCTCCGACGATAGCGCGCTATCTGCCGCTGCGGCGCGGGTCTGGGCTATTTCTGGCCCGGCCGCGGCACTGTGGTGGGTGCGGGCGTGCCGGGACCCTGCGGGGGCGGGGCGGCCTCATGGGTCGGCTCTCCCTCCTACGCCTCTCGCTCCAGAGCAAGCCGGGCCGCCGTCCTCTCGCCATGGGCTCTGGTGAGTCTGGAGTCTGGTTGGGCCCCCACCCCGGCTGCTCCCTAGGCCGATCCGGGTTGAGAGGCACCCTGGTCCTTTGCAGCAGGGAGAGACTTGGATCAGACTTAGAGGGCACTTCTAGCCAGCGTACAGGGGTGGTCAGGGTAGAGAGGCTGGCAGGCTACCGGGACGCCGGGCATCAGGGGGCTGGATGGAGCCGGGCCGACGCTCTGGGCGCTCAGAGACGTCGTCCAGGCGCCCCGCTGACTCCCCGGCTCACTGCGGCCTTCCCTTGCAGGGCCGCGCGGGGCGCTGAGCTTACTGCTCTTGCTGCTGGCGCCGCCGAGCCGCCCGGCCGCAGGTTGCCCGGCGCCCTGTAGCTGCGCGGGGACGCTAGTGGACTGCGGGCGCCGCGGGCTGACTTGGGCCTCGCTGCCGACCGCCTTCCCTGTCGACACAACCGAGCTGGTGCTGACCGGCAACAACCTGACGGCGCTGCCGCCGGGGCTGCTGGACGCGCTGCCCGCGCTGCGCGCCGCACACCTGGGCGCCAACCCCTGGCGCTGCGACTGCCACCTGGTTCCGCTGCGCGCCTGGCTGGCCGGCCGCCCCGAGCGTGCCCCCTACCGCGACCTGCGCTGCGTGGCGCCCCCAGCGCTGCGCGGCCGCCTGCTGCCCTACCTGGCGGAGGACGAGCTGCGCGCCGCTTGCGCTCCCGGCTCGCTCTGCTCGGGGGCGCTGGCGGCGCAGCTCGCGCTGCTGGGCCTGGGGCTGCTGCACGCGCTGCTGCTGGCGCTGCTCCTGTGCCGCCTGCGGAGGCTGCGCATCCGCGCTCGCGCCGCGTCCCCGCTGTCGCTGACCGTCCCGCTGGTGGACGAGTCGGCTGGAACCGGCGCGTCCTGAGGACAGACCCGGCGCTGAGCAACGCGGGCCTGCAAACTCGACAGGACCCTGCCCAAGGAGCCCTCGCGCCAACCTGGACCCGCCTCGGCCTCCTCCGCTGCCCAATCCCTCAGACCCGCCCCACCTGCAGGCCCAGACCCACGTGGGGCAGAACTCCTGCCCACTTTACCCCGAGGGAGGCGAACCCGCACCTCCAGGCTTCGGAGGACCGTGGGGCACAATGCGGTCCAGACCCTGGTTCTTCCTCCAAACTCTGGTGCTGAATAAATCCTTCTGATCGGGCCTTCTCTGTCCGACTGACCTGGAAATTCCCCTCGCCAAGCTCAGGAAAAGGCGTTCAAGGGGACACAAGCACATCCTCATATGCCCCTTCCCACGTCAGGGGCAGACAGGGGCCGGTGGGCGAACTCCCCCTTCCAGACACACTCCCAAAAGGCCACGTGGGAAGGCATGAGAGACGTGCTAGGTGACAACGCTTGGGGGACGGCAAGGACTCTGTGGGGGCGGTGAAGACGCTGTGGGGGTGGTGAGGACGCTGCGGGGACAGTGAGGACACTGTGGGGACGGTGAGGATGCTGTGGGGGTGGCGAGGATGCTGCGGGGACGCTGCGGGGGTGGTGAGGACGCTGTGGGGACGGTGAGGACGTTGCGGGGACGGTGAGGACACTGTGGGGATGGTGAGGACGCTGTGGGGATGGTGAGGACACTGCGGGGACGGTGAGGACGCTGCGGGGACGGTGAGGACGCTGTGGGGACGGTGAGGACGCTGCGGGGACGGTGAGGACGCTGCGGGGACGGTGAGGACGCTGCGGGGACGGTGAGGACGCTGTGGGAATGGTGAGGACGCTGTGGGGATGGTGAGGACGCTGTGGGGCAGTAGGATGCCTTTGGGGATGGTGAGGACGCCGTGGGGACAGTGAGGACGCTGTGGGGCAGTAGGATGCTTTGGGGATGGTGAGGACACTGTGGGGGTGGTGAGGACGCTGCAGGGACGGTGAGGACGCTGTGGGGACGGTGAGGACGCCGTGGGGACAGTGAGGACGCTGTGGGGCAGTAGGATGCCTTTGGGGATGGTGAGGACGCCGTGGGGCAGTAGGATGCCTTTGGGGATGGTGAGGACACTGTAGGCAATGAGGACAGTCCCAGCAGTGGACCTAGTCATCTGAGCATGTCCAGGGGATGGTTCTCACGCACAACGCTGGCTGTGAGGACACCGTAGCATCTCAAGGATTGGGTGGGTTCTCTGATGCAGGGTGAGGACGTAGGCCCGCGTTGGCATTGGCATCATTCAGTTCACTAGGGGAGTGTTGAGGCAGGCGAGCAGGGTTGTTTCGGGTCTGTTGCTCCATCTGGGAATCCCGGGACCATCGGAGTGAGAAGACGGCCTCTGTGTGATGGAGCCATGGGCGGTGGGGATTCGTGGAGGGCCCCACAGCGATGAGTGGGCCTTGGGGGTTGCAGGGTCTGGAATCATTGTGTCCTGGAGTGACCCAGCCGCCCACCACCCCTGGCCCCACCAACACCCTCAAACCTTCCTCGCGCCATGTCTCTTCATCCCACAGCAGCAGCCCCAGCCCCAGACCCCTTCTGCCAGTGTGCAGGGCTCACAGCCCATTCCTACCAGCCGAGGACCGTCCCTGTCCCTGCCCACAGCCGAGACCTTCTCCAGGCCCCCAGGCTGCGCCACTCGGGGCCTGCACACACCAGTTCCTTCTGCCTGGCACTGCTCCTTGCTCATCTCCTGTGCGTCTGGCGAGTCCTCCACCAGGCTGCCGCCTTCCCTTGGGAAGGTCCTCGCTGACTGCCCAGACCAGCAAGGAGCTTCTCAGAGTCCCCAGTTTCTGGCTACCTACTGCCCTTCCCAGACCCTGGAGCTGAGCAACCAGGTCTTCCAAATCCTCTTCGGGTGCCCAGGTCAGCACAGGGTGCCCCAACTTAGGGGGTGACTAATGCCTTTCTCACTATTGGAGCCGGCCTGGGGTGCCAGGGACAGGGTCCCTCTGCCACTGTCAAGTGTGGCCCCCACCTGGCTGGCCCTATGCACAATGGAGACTATTCCCCATGCATCCCAAGAGGCCCCAGATGAGGATCCTCAGGTCCTGGCCACCCGGCCCAGGAAGGCCCTCGGCCCCCAATGGCCATCACTGACCACCACTGACCGGGTCGGGGAGGCTGCCAGTGACACAACCTTTGTCTTGTCCTTTGTGGGACAAGATAGATGGCCCTCCTGCAGGGCTGATGCTATCTCCAGGCTGCCAGTCAGACTTGAGGCAGGAGCCACCCCCGCCTTTGTGCGCAGGTGCAGGGCATCCGGCCCATTGTGGGCTGCGGCCGACTGTGGTCGTCCATCCGGCCTTATCGCCACATCGAGGACAGTGGCCCCCGTTATACAAATGAACTGCAACGCTTGCCCTCCCCAGCGGTGGCCTGGCACCTCCAGAGCTCCTAGTGGCGGTCAGAGGTAAGCGTCATCATACACAGCGCGTGTGCAACACTCTAAACTCAGTCTAAGCAGGGCACAGGGAGGGGATGTGCTCCCCACTTTCCATAAGAAACTGGATCCCGGAAGGGGGCTCTCTGCTGGGCTCCAGAGCTTTCTTTGTGTCTGTGCTGGAAGCAGAGCTGAGACAGCCCCCTGGGACCCCTCTCTGCCTCACTGAGGCCTTTGGGGTGCAAATGCACAGCCCAGGAGAAAGTGGTGCAGGACGGCGTTCAGGCCTGTGTCCTCAAGGTCCACCTGGGGGTTCAAGCAACATCTCAGGCCTGTCCACAGCCAGCTAGTGAGTGAGCGAGGGAGTGACCGAGGCCGTGAACAACCCTAGGCAGGCACCAGAGGGCGCTCGCGGTCTGCAGAAAACGGGGGCTAAGGGGTGAGCGTAGAAAGAGGTGGGCGCTGTGGGTGCAGACAGCGGGGGTCCGCGGAGAAACGGAGGCCTGGAGTCGGGGCGGTGGATTGTCCAGGCTGGCGGCGAGCGGCACCGAGTGGGACGGGGAGGCCGCCCCTCGTAGGGGCGGGGAGGGGGTCGCCGCGTGGCCGCTGACAGACGGGGCGGGATGAGCGCGGCCCCCGCCCCTCCCCTGGCCCCCTGACAGCCTGTCAACTGGGAAGATAAGGGACTTCTTCCGCCGGGCACGGGATGGGGGTCAACCCAGGTGCTCTGTCCCCGTCCCGCTGGTGTTTGCTCGGTAAACACTTATTGGGCCCCTGCTGTGCGCCCCGCGGCGGGGGAGGGGCCGGCAACCCTGAAAGCCTGGGCTGCACAGCCTCTGCCAGGGATGCCGGGGCGGCGACAAGCAGCGGTGCAGGAAAAGAGGCTCTGTCACCTCTGGCTCCGCCTGGGGAAGAGTTGCCTGTGGGGTCCTTCATGGATCCCCTCCAGCCTGGGGCGGCACTAGCCTCAGCTTCAGAGCCGGGCTGACCCCCATGAGCCGAGGCCTCACTGGGGCCCCCGTGGAGGAGGAGGTCGTGGGGAAGGTCTAGGGAGCTGAAGCCCCAGCCACGTGGGGGAGGACTGCACCCCCTGCCCAGACAGAGAAACAACATTGGAGTGGGTGGCGGGGCCCTGGGGGCCCATAGCTCAGCACAGCGTCTGCGCCCACCCCCTGTGTTTCCGATGGAAGACAGGCTGAAGGTGATAAATCACCGGGTCCCACCCCCACCCACCCCGCCAACGGGTGGGGAAGGGGGGCTTGCATGTGACAGAGATGGGGACTGAGAGAGACGGGAGCCACGTCTAGAGGAGAGACAGAGACAGTGGCACTGTGGTGGCCCTGCTGACATGGGCCAGGGCCCTTGCTTGGGTGTCTGGGCTCCGCACTCTGGGTGCCCCTGCCGCAAAGCCCATCTGGAAACCAGCTGACAGCCACTGCACCCCACCCTGGCTGACCCCCAACAGGGAGGTGGAGGAGGGAGGCAGACCTTTGCAGCCATAATTCCGTCCCACCCTGGAGGACCATAAATCAGCAGGGGCTCTCAAAGCACTGCCCACCCCAGGCCGAAGGAGGGGCTTCAGGGTCACTGGTCCTGGGGACTGGGCCTGGCCTTGGTTGTGTCTGTCCCTCTTTAAACAGCCCTGAAGCCAAGGCAGGCAGATCACTTGAGGCCAGGAGTTCAAGACCAGCCTGGCCATCATGGTGAAACCCTGTCTCTACTAAAAATACAAAAATTATCCAGGCATGGTGGTGGGCACCTGTAATCCCAGCTACTCAGGAGGCTGCAGGGAGAGGATGGCTTGAGCTCGGGAGGCAGAGGTTGCAGTGAGCCCAGATCACGCCACTGCGTGCCAGCCTGGGTGACAGAGCTAAATTCTGTCTCAAAAAATAAATAAATAGAGGCCGGGCGCGGTGGCTCAAGCCTGTAATCCCAGCACTTTGGGAGGCCGAGGTGAGTGGATCACAAGGTCAAGAGATCGAGACCATCCTGGTCAACAAGGTGAAACCCCATCTCTACTAAAAATACAAAAAGTTAGCTGGGCATGGTGGTGCGTGCCTGTAATCCCAGCTCTTCAGGAGGCTGAGGCAGGAGAATCGCCTGAACCCAGGAGGCGGAGGTTGCGGTGAGCCGAGATCGCGCCATTGCACTCCAGCCTGGGTAACAAGAGGGAAACTCCGTCTCAAAATGAATAAATAAATAAATAAATAAATAAACAGCCCTGAGGAGAACCCCAGCAGCCCCACCCCCAGCCCAGCACAGTCTACACTGGAGGTACACACTCACATCGTTACTTTCTCTCTCCAGACAGGAGACGTCTGTGGGGAGTGACTCTGTGTCCTCATCAGGAGACCCCCTGTTGCTGGCCCCTCAGGAGCTGGGAGTCAGCATGTGCCACCCAGTGAAGCCCTCCTGGGGGTCGTCTCTGCCCAGGGGAAGTGCCTCCTTCCATCCTGTCTTCCTGCCACCCCCCTCCAGGGTGCTGAGGGCCAGCGGGACAGAAGGTGGTGAGAGATAGGCCAGGCGGGCCCCCACAAATGAGTGCACCCCCTATGCATACACATAGGGCAGGTGCAAAGTCAGTACCCAGTGGGAGAAGCTTGAGAGGGCCCCGGGGAGTGCTCCCTGGAACTGTGGGGTGTCCTCAGCACTGTAGTTCCAGCTGGGCCAGCCTCCGCAACCCCTCTCCAGGGTCCATCCTGCAGATAGCCCCCAGGGTCCCCGTGGTGGGCACAAGGGCATTGTACACAAGGAAACACCAATGTCCACTGTGACATCACCCCAGCTTGTCTCAAAGAGCCATAGGGGTTGGGAATGGGGCTGTTCCTTGCCTAGCAAGACTTTTGGAGAT